AACCCCCCCCCCCCTTAACGCAACCTTCACCCGGCCCGGGCCGGTCCCCCGGGCAAGTTTTTCTTTTTTTGTGGGGATCGCCCATCGTTTGGGACGACTTTACGCCGAGGCATTGAAGAGATCGAGTTCTCAAGAGGTGCCGAAGACGTCGCGGCGCACCCTGGCGGTCGGGTTGTCGGCGGCGAGTTTCTTCAAACACCTTGCAGCACTCGTGGATCAACACTCAGGATTCGTCTCAGAGGGCGTACTTCATCGTGGACGCATACTCGTCCGGCAGCGGCGACTTTGTACTCGCGTGGAATGTCACGGCTTTCCCGCCGCCTCCGCCGCTTCCGTCGCTTCCGCCGCTTCCGCCGCTTCCGCCGCCTCTGTCCCCGCCCCCGCCCCCGCCGCCTCTGTCCCCGCCTCTGTCCCCGCCTCTGTCTCCGCCGCCGCCGCCTTCGCCGCCGCAACCGCCGTTGCCACCCTTCCTGCCGCCGCCGCCCTCTCTGCCGCCGCCCTCTCCGCCGCCGCCGTCGCAGATGTGGCGGCGACGGCGGCTGGTTGGGTCGGTGCCGCTGACGCTCGTCCGCACCACCCGTGTTGACCCGAATGGCGTATCGGGGGCGGTGGACGGCGTCGAGTTCTCAAAAGACGGCGTCTTTTATGCCGCCGGTGACAATCATGGTGTTGTGAGAATCTATCGCACCGACAATGGCAACATCGTGGGCAAGGTAACGCATGAGTATTCAGGCGGTAGCTGCGCAAACTCCGCCGCCGAAATTAATGCCGTCGCCTTTTCGCCTGACGGACAATATCTGGCCACCGGTGACGGCGGCGATGGCGGTGCTAAAGTCTGGCGCACCGATGGTTATTTTGATGTCAACAAACCTTGGCAAAATGACCCTCCGGCTCATACTTTGATAGGCCACACGGAAGTTGACGGCCTTGACTGGTCACCAGACGGCAAGTTTATCGCAATTGCGTCAAACGCCGACGTAAGGGTCTACGATGTGCAGAATGGCTTCGCCCAGATCGTCAGAATCCTTGCCGAACCCTCGCAGGGTGCAGTCAACTCCCTCGATTTCTCATCCGATTCCGCCTACCTGGCGTATGCCGGCGGATGCAGGGGTTGCAATAGAGCCAGTGTCTTCGTCTATCGGACTTCGGACTGGACGAAAATGGACAAGTTCGCCTCTAGCTCTCCTAGCCCAAGCATCAAATCTGTCAGGTTCTCTCCTGATGACCGGTACCTGGGATTCGGTGGCCGTGGGCAAGTAACCGAGATATGGGAGCGGGTCTGGGTCAGTGCTAACTGGTTCGACTGGACGCACGTAGTGTCTTTGTCGCACGCGGGTGAAAACGAAATTGCGTTGCCCTGTGATGACAATGACAGAAATGCAGCCGTTGAAGCGGTCGAGTGGGCAAGCGACGGCAGGTATTTCCTTAGTGGCGGATTGATCTCAGGAAGATTGCACCTCTGGGAAACCACCACCTGGACCCACCAGGGCTACGTCCAGGGGCAGAGTCCCAATCGCCAGATCGAGTACATTGATGTTTTTGACACCCTCGTGATCGTTGGTGGTGATGATGGCGATGTCCGTCTCTTCAGCATTGGGCCGCCGCCGCCCTCGCCGCCCTCGCCGCCGCCTTCATACTGGACTCACTTTGCGCACATCGGCACCACGGCCTACCTCATCGGCTCCTCGTCGTACAACTCGGCCGTGGGCAGCCAGGCCGCGGGCGATTCCGTGTGGTGGCTGAGCTGCTCGGCGGCAGACGCTGCCGCCGCCTCCGCCGGAAGGTCGATCGCGATGAAGTTGACGATGGGCGAGGTGGTCGACTACTTCCGGCCGACGTCGGGCAACTCGCTCTGCGACATGCTTGCGAGCTCCACCAAGCACGAATTCTCTCCCGACGAGGTGGCGTGGTACACGCCGACGTACCTTGGCAGCAACGCTATGGGAGGCTCCGCGAGAGCCTGGCCTAGGGACAACGTTCCTGGAGACGAGCGGGCTTACCTGCCGTTCTGGGGTGGTGCTGGGGCTCGTTCGGGCTGCTGCCACAGCTCGCTGACATCAGGCGCTGCGTGGGGCCAGACGTTCGACCTCTACGTCAACACGGCTCCGCCGCCGCCCTCGCCGCCCTCGCCGCCGCCCTCGCCGCCGCCGCCGCCTCTGCCGCCGCCTTCATACTGGACTCACTTTGCGCACATCGGCACCACGGCCTACCTCATCGGCTCCTCGTCGTACAACTCGGCCGTGGGCAGCCAGGCCGCGGGCGATTCCGTGTGGTGGCTGAGCTGCTCGGCGGCAGAGGCTGCCGCCGCCTCCGCCGGAAGGTCGATCGCGATGAAGTTGACGATGGGCGAGGTGGTCGACTACTTCCGGCCGACGTCGGGCAACTCGCTCTGCGACATGCTTGCGAGCTCCACCAAGCACGAATTCTCTCCCGACGAGGTGGCGTGGTACACGCCGACGTACCTTGGCAGCAACGCTATGGGAGGCTCCGCGAGAGCCTGGCCTAGGGACAACGTTCCTGGAGACGAGCGGGCTTACCTGCCGTTCTGGGGTGGTGCTGGGGCTCGTTCGGGCTGCTGCCACAGCTCGCTGACATCAGGCGCTGCGTGGGGCCAGACGTTCGACCTCTACGTCATCACGGCTCCGCCGCCGCCCTCGCCGCCCTCGCCGCCGCCCTCGCCGCCGCCGCCCCCGTACCAGCTGCTCGACCTCCGCGCCGCCACCACGTACCAGGACTCGAGCTTGTTCGACAAGCAGGCGCCCGTGAGCGACCTGTCATACGCCGACAGCACGACGGGACGGCCGTGGGCCGAGTGCGGCCAATACACAAGCCAGTGGTGGGGCGTCGACCTCGGGAGCGAGGTGTATGTGCGCTACGTGCGGCTGCAGAACCGCAACGACTGCTGCGCGGAGCGGCTGACGGACGTCGACATCTATCTCGGCACGACGGCAGAGACGTACACGGGCAACGCGCTGGTGAAGTCAGACGTGAGCGTGTTGTCGAACGTGATGTTGGAGGTGGAGATCAACGCGTTGGGGCGCTACATCTACCTCAACCGGCCGTCTGCGGCGGGGCTGACGGTGTGCAAGTTCTACGTCTTCGCAGGAAATCGCAATGGTCCACCTCCTTCCGCGTCGCCGTCGCCACCGCCTCCCTCCGCGTCGCCGTCCCCGCCGCCTCCGTCGGCCTCGCCGTCGCCGCCGCCGCCATCCGCGTCGCCGTCGCCGCCGCCTCCGTCCGCCTCACCATCTCCGCCGCCGCCCTCAGCATCGCCGTCGCCCCCGCCGCCCCCAGCATCGCCGTCACCCCCGCCGGCATCCGTGTCGCCGTCGCCGCCGCCTCCCTCGGCATCGCCCTCGCCCCCGCCGCCGTCCGCCTCACCGTCGCCACCGCCTCCGTCCGCCTCGCCCTCGCCGCCGCCGCCGTCCGCCTCGCCGTCGCCGCCGCCGCCCGACGTGCAGCTGCTCGACCTCCGCGCCGCCACCACGTACCAGGACTCGAGCTTGTTCGACAAGCAGGCGCCCGTGAGCGACCTGTCATACGCCGACAGCACGACGGGACGGCCGTGGGCCGAGTGCGGCCAATACACAAGCCAGTGGTGGGGCGTCGACCTCGGGAGCGAGGTGTATGTGCGCTACGTGCGGCTGCAGAACCGCAACGACTGCTGCGCGGAGCGTCTGACCGGCATTGACATCTATCTCGGCTCGACGGCGGAGACGTACACGGGCAACGCGCTGGTGAAGTCGGACGTGAGCGTGTTGTCGAACGTGATGTTGGAGGTGGAGATCAACGCGTTGGGGCGCTACATCTACCTCAACCGGCCGTCTGCGGCGGGGCTGACGGTGTGCAAGTTCTACGTCTTCGCAGGAAATCGCAATGGTCCACCTCCTTCCGCGTCGCCGTCGCCACCGCCTCCCTCCGCGTCGCCGTCCCCGCCGCCTCCGTCGGCCTCGCCGTCGCCGCCGCCGCCATCCGCGTCGCCGTCGCCGCCGCCTCCGTCCGCCTCACCATCTCCGCCGCCGCCCTCAGCATCGCCGTCGCCCCCGCCGCC